GGCTCGAAGAGTGGTTCCATGCAGTCAGTGTGGAGCGGACTACGGTCCAGCCACCACCTTGTGTGCGCTTGATTCCCAAATACAGTGTGCTTGTGTTTGCCTGTGAAGGAGTGTGGGCCGGCTCCGTTGATGAAACGTGGCTCCCATACACATGCCCCCCGGTCTTATTCCTTCGGGTTTACACTGGATATGGGGTGTGGTTGGAGCTGTGGGTGGTGCAGCGCAAGCCACCCGTGATCCCTCTGTAGGCGCAGGCGTCCTGTGGCTGGCCATAGTGACAGGCAAATCCGAAACCGAATGCCGCCAAGCATGTATTCACAACAGTCTATTAGCTAGACACAGCCAGCATAAAACCATGGAGATCAGTGGATAAGAAACAGTCATCGCGTCATAATCATCGTGGCATGCTAGTTGAAGGTGAGCAACACACTTCAACTAATATACTGCAAGGAAGAACGGAACATTTTCATAAAAGGAGAACAAAACATTTTTACTTTGTTTTTCACACGCCGCTTTTGTTCTTTTTTGCCATTTTAATGTTTGTAGTATTAAACATGTGAATCAATACAATAATGTACAGAATTCTTCCATTGATTCCGGTTGCGGGCCATATCTTCAAGAGTGCTAAGTCATTGGCACTCCTCATCTTTGGGTCCCCATCCTGGAAGACGTACGGATCCTACGGCGACTAGACACGACGTCAGCGATTTCATGTGCTGCCGCCAAGTGGAAGGCTGACCACCACGCGGTCGTCTACAGCCAGGTTCTTGACGAGCAAATAGAGCGCGACGCGGTATACGCTCAGGTGCCATGCGTAGGACGTGACCGAGCCATCTCAACTGGCGCAACAAAACCAGTTTGTTGAAGGGAATACTCGCATTCCCCTAGCTGAGGCGGCGAACGTCATTACTATTAACTCGATGTTGCCACCGAACACGCGCGACCTTCCTTAAGCAACCGTTATCAAAGGCAGAAAGAGGACGCATGTCTTCCACGCGAAACGGCCAGGGCTCACACCCATACAACAATATTGAGCGAATTGGTGCGCTGTAAACGCGGCTTCTTAGTGCGAATGAGACGTCGCGACGACGTCATAAGTGCCTCAGATTGACAAATGCCGATCGACCTTTAGCGATACGAAGAGAAACTTCTTTGTTGATAGTGCCGTCAGCAGAAACACAGCTCCCAAGATAGACGAAACTACCTACCTGTTCAAGTTGTGCATCTTCTAGAGTGAGTACGGGAGCAGGTGAAAGCCAGTATTTGAGCAGTACTTTACACCTCGATGGGGCGAAGCTCATGCCATACTTAGATGCTTCAACCGCCAAACGACCCAGAATGAGTTGCATACTCTGAGGATCGTCACCAAGTAAGGCGATATCATCAGCATAATCTAATTCAGTCGCGCGCTCACCCGGTAGAAGCTCTAAGCCAAAATGTTGGAAACCTTCTAGGGCATTCGACAGAACCTCTTCGATTGGGAAGTTGAAGAGGAATGGGGACATAGGGCAGCCCTGTCGCACATCGCTATCGACAGTGAAGTGCGATGAAAGCCTGCCATAGACCCTCACTCTGCCGGATGTATGAAGGTAAAGTGCTCGTAAGATGGCGGTATATTTCTCTGGCACCCCGTTCTTTAGTAAGCAACGCCATAAAGCAGGTCGATCAACGGAGTCAAAAGCGGCACGTATGTCTAGAAACGCAATGATAGTGGGCCTGTGATAAATGTGGCGATGTTCGAGGAGCTGGCGGAGCGTGAAGATTTGATCCACGCATCTGCCGCCAGGACGGAAACCAGCTTGTTCTCCATGGTAGTATGATTCACGCACTGGAGATAGCCTGCGAAGCAGTATGGATGCCAGTAGCTTAGAGGCAACCGAAATAAGACTAATCTCGCGATGATTTGCACATGAAGTGCGAGCGCCTTTCTTGAAAATCGGGATAATGACTGATTCGCCCCAACAGGAAGGCACTTTCTCTTCATTCCAAATTTATGCGAACAGCGCGGTCAGCTGGTTAATGATCGCCACACCGCCGTACTTGAATAGTTCCGGAGAAAGTCCGTCTGAGCCGGCAGCCTTGAAGCGCTTCAAGCGTCGAATCTCGAGGCAGACTTCCGCTTCGCTGGGTGGATTCAGAGGGACGAGCCAGGGTGGACAACAATGTGTACTGCATGTACTGATGGACGGTGGAGGCCAGTTGAACTGCGAGTGAAAGTGCTCAGCCCAGCGGTCCATACGCCTCTGTTGGTTGGTGATCGGAGACTCATCCACCTCACAAATGACCTCACTGACACCATGTTTCCTGAGGCCAGTGGACCGAATGAGTTGGAAAAGCCCGCGAGTGTTGCCAGAGAGGGCAGCGGTCTCCATCTCTAAAGCACGTTCAGACCACCATGTCACGCGATCCTTGCGTAGGCTTTGCTTGAGCAGCCGGTTGGCAAAACGGCGCCGCTCGTTGCAATCTGATTCCGCGGGTATATCTTTGCGGCGTTCGAACAGCTAAAGAGAACGAGCAGAGATCCAAGCCTTCAAGGGGCGTCGAGTTAGGCCGCAGCATGACTGTCCGGAAATGGTCATTGCCTTCCGTATACAAGTCTAGTGTTGTACCACTTCTTGCGGTGGATTGCAACTAAGTGCATATGTCAATGATGACTGATAGCTCGTCTGGACAGAGGAATCAGTTAATCTGTTTATATCAATCCTGCAGTGCTTCGTGTTTCGGGATCCTCCAAAACACATACAGATTTTCGTGCAGACCAGAGCATGATCTGAGTCAACGAAGGTGGACCAAAAGGACCTGCAGTCCAGTACGCTGCCGCGCCATCTGAAGCTAATTGCAATGTGATCAATTTGAGACCACGGTTGTGTTGAAGGGAGACGCCACGTTGCGGAACGCTTCTTCGTACGCCTGAAGTCAGTGCTCGAAAGAAACAGACGGTTGTCTTCGCACAATGTGAGAAGTCTCTCTCCGTTATCAGAGCGGTTCTCATCGAGCGAGTGATGACCACCAAGGTGGCGTCCGTATGGTAACAGGCGGTCAACCCGTGCATTAAAATCCACAGCAAGGATAACGACATCCGACTTTTTAGCATTAGTCAAGAGCTGTTGTAGATACCGATAGAATTCGTCCTTGACTGAGTCGCCACTGCAGTCAGTTGGAGCGTACACGGAGATCACAAACAGGTTGTGTCACTCTTCACGGTGCCTGTTGATTCTACACGAACCACGAAGCCGAACTGCACATAGTCGGCTGTTAATAGGGAACCAGTCCAGTAGTGCCGCCTCGGCCTTGTCACTTAGTGCTATACCTACACAAGCCAGACCCGCTGAGGCTGCTTCTGGATCTCCAGAAAGACGCAGGTGATATCTGGCTTCGTGGTCAGTGGCGGATATCAGTGTAAGCACAGTGCTGGAATTTTGCAATCCGGTTTCTGAAAGGCGGCAGACATCAATGTCTAGGGAATCTAGAGTGCGCGCTAGACAGGCTTGCTGTCCAATCTGCATGAGTGTCTGAACGTTGAAGCACGCCAGACGGAACGAGGATCGGGGACGACTGAGAGCCATAGGTTGAACCTCTTGGTCTGCGGCGCAACCGGAATCGCAGCCAGATTGTTGAACACATGAATCGGGTAACGGAAAGTGAGGATTGTTAACAAACAAACAATTGGTGTGTGATGAAGTCGCGTGAAAGTGACTAGCAGAAACAGCAGCTGATGAGCAAGTTGTAATAGAGTCCATGGTTTTGCGAGAGGGCGTGATACTACCCGGTTGCCCAAGCCGAAGTAGGGAATTGACTTAGGGGACTCCACCCCGAGCATTTGGCTAAATAACCTACCCGCAAGGCAGCGGGGCGAATTTAGGGAATCGCGCCCATTGGGAGGCGTTGGCTGAATGTTCAGTTCATGCGTCATTGTTTGGTAGATTACCAAACAGGGGCCCAATACTCCCCATATAGTCAGCACACCTGCTGGAATACAATGTCCCACCGAGGTGGAACGTTGTCGCCGAACACTTTGCTGGAACGGGGTACACCCGAACCACCCAGCTGGCATCACGAGGAGGTAGTTCGGCAAGCCAGCCCTAGACTAAACCGAAAATAAGTTTGTGACCAAAATTCGTCCCAACTGGGTCACTCAGAACGTTTTTCTCTAATGCACCCTTACCAGATACACTGAGTGCATTTTTCCTAGTCGCAAACATCATCAACACTGGACCAAAATCGATTACCAAACTGTAATGACACAATACAATAGCTGTTAAGCTTGTAGCTTGTCCGCGGGTGTCACGATAACACGCTAACAGGTCGATATGTTTTGCTTCCTGTCAGCCTTACCCTCTAATTCTCCTCCGGCACTTTTCTTTCCCTCTTCCGTGCTTCCTTAGCTGTCTCCCTTACATCGGCTTCTTACTGAGCGGTTGGGCATGCAGCCGTCTACGAGGTGCATATTTTGTGCTGCAGCCCTAAGGGTCTATTACGGCCCGTCGTACTAGTTGGATACGGAAGTGCTTGGAACGCCGGACAGAAAAAATATTACAAAGCTGAGCCGAAAATGTTTTCCAATGATAAAAATTCTACCAAACAGTATCCCATTGGGAAGGACAGGATCACGAAAATTGGGCACTCAGGGAGCTGTAAGGGTCACTCGCGCTGAGTAAAATTACGGTTTTCTTAAAAAGTGACGTCTATGAGACAAAAAGCGGAGGTACGAAAGGTGTACACTTATTTAGCGGCATTTCTGGTAAGATCACGTCAATTACTTTCATATTAATTTGTTTACTCCGCGAGGGATCGAAAACACGCCTGGTTGTCTATCTGGGCGTACAAGGACCTTTGCCAGTCCGAAAATTGAAACAAGCAACGGGTAGATCACAAGTGGAAATTATAATCGCATTACGAAGTGATGTGGTATTAAGGACAATCAATCGTGCATTCATGAGTCAATACATCAAACAAAGATGAAATTTAGAATATCAAAACATTTCATTTAAAATGCTAACCTGGGCGGATAACTTGGCTTCAAACTCTTCAAACGCGGCTTCTGCCTCTGCAATCTTCACACGGTCATCACTAACGGTAAGGTTATCACAAAGTTCAGCGTCTACACTAGGTGGGAGAACCGGCAAAATGAAGAAAGAGGTGTTAAAGAGCGGCATAGAATGCAGATTTCAATCCCAATTCGAACGTTTGTTTAAGACGAGAGCAGGGTTTCGAGCCTCTGTATTTATTGGATTGGTCCTCCACATATGCGCAAAATAAGCGAGACAGCCAGTGAAGGAGACCAATCCGAATAACATAACAAATTTGTTCTAAAATATACAGCAACAAACCCAAATTACTGGTTTAATGAAAAGCTCGAAGTTCAGCACACGAAAAAGCGGAGTACTTTTTCTGTTGGGGCTACAATCTAATCTTGTAGAAATGTACCAACCTCATAAGCACATCTGGAAAGTACTTTTCTAAAACACATGGGCAATGGGGGAACCACGCTAACGGCAGACCCCAAATTTCCAACACCAGTAGCTTTAGGACTGGAAACATAGGATAATCTAATAAATGTTTATTCTTCCGTGCATCAACGAAACTAATTAACAACTTGCTTTTCAAGCTTAATGGATACAAAAGTAAACCAATACACTAAGCCTTTACTTCGACAACCGGAGTGGGATTTCTACTTTTCAGCATGGCTTTTTTGGTTCATTGGGTAGTAGATAGCAGGAGGGGAGGTCCCTTGTCAGCTCCATCGTCTCCCGATCATTGCTGGGATCCTCGCCATTGCGCAACGGAAACTACAGAGGCCATCGCACTGGTAGCTGAAGCTGATTTGGCTCTCCTTTGGCACATCAAGGCACCGTTTTCCCTGTTGGATCAACGACGTTTTCGAAGGTAAAACATCCGCGGGATTTTCCTACTTTTCCGGTCCCAGTTGAACTTGAACTTGAACTCTACCCCGGCATATTCAACAGGTGTGAATCAAATAGTCGTTTGAAGCAATCCTCCGTCTGTGGCTCAGCGACGGGCGGCGGTAACCGGTTCCAAGTATTCACAACGCCAGTGGATAGAGCAAGAACGGGCCGTACTTTGAGTCTCCGTGGTTTGAATATTTTCCTTTGGTGGCCTCTAGTCGAACTCCCGGTGTTAAAATTCACGTTCAAGTTCAAATGGGACCGGAACAGAAGGATAAATTCCGGTGAATGTTCCTTTCGTGACGCGTCGTTGATCCAGGGTAATATTCGTCTGCGATAACTGGAATCCAGAAGAGTCAGATCAGCGTGCGCGAGTCCCACCACGGTCAACCAAGTAATACCCACGCGACCTGCACTGGCAGTCCCCGCCGCACCAGTCACGTAAGATAAGAAAGAAAGTACGAAAGTAATAAGCGCATTAAGAAAAATACGTAATAGATTTTAGAATTCAATGAGACGAATAAGCTAGGATGTGAAGGGGAATGTTAAGAATTGAAGGCCAAGAGCGTCGAGTCGGTGTTCGAACTCTCACCATTGGCGCCAATACCAGTTTGTCAAGCAGTGCATTCCACGAATACACCACTCGGCGTGATAAACGAAAGTCCGCCCGGACTCCATCCGATCGAGGTTTGTGTAGCTACAGCGAGTGACCACGGAGCGATGGAAGCCGAGCCGGTTGGAAAAGCTCGGATAAATCGGGTCCGATTTTACCGGTAAGTATACGATAGGTCAATACTGGGTCGCCTCGATGTTGACGATAGTGCATCGAGAACATTCCCAGCGCTAGTAGTCTTTCTGGGTAAGAATGGTCCCGCAGTCCATGGACCAGTTTGGTTCAAACTCGCGTCACTCTCTCCACTGACATCCTGTCCCTGACTAAGCAAGGTGGACAAGCCTGGATGCATTATTCCAAGTGTGGCCTGACAAATGCTAAGAATAACCCAACATACAGCGCCCGTGATGGTCCCGAATGCCCTGCGAATCATCTACAACATTCCGAAACCCTTGCACGTAGCTTTCCTCCAGTTCTTTCTGGATTTAAGTTTTAAAGACCAAGTGACCCCTGGGTCTAACAATTGGGTAACATGGTGTAGTTCCTTACCGCCAAGCAAAACACGCGTTTGGGGGCTATTTGGCCCTATTCGTAAGATGTAACACTGCATAACTTATGAGCAACTGCCACAGAGCAACCCAGTCGCAAATTTTATCGAGGGCCCGTTAAAGAGTTTGGTGTCCATCGAAGTCAGACACTATGTGCCAAAACTTAGGTCATCTGCAAACATGCGAGATGGTACCTCCAGCAGCTCGGGCAGCTCGTTAGCATACAAGGAAAATAACAACGGGCCAAGCACCGAACCCTGAGGGACCCCACTGAGGACTGACTGTCGGAAATGCAGACTAGACCCCACACGAACAAACATATCTCTCCCTTCAAGAAACGTGGTGATCCATTTTAGTGCACCCCGGATATTCCATAGGACCAGAGCTTCAAGGAGAGGAGAGAATGCGATACAGTGTCGAACGCCTTGGAGAAGTCAACAAACACTACATCTACTGCATGACTCCGATCCAAAGCATCCGCCCGACATTCGCATGCAACTAGCAAATTAGTCATACAGGAATGACCATTGCGAAAGCCGTATTGAGTGGAGTGAGCAGACCATACTCCCGCAGGTGGTCTTCAAGCATATGTCTGACCAACTTCTCCAGTACGTTGACCAGTACGCTTGCCAAACTTACTGGTCTATAACTGACAGAGGATGCTTATCGCTCTTGGTAAAAATCGGTCAAACGATGGCGTCCTTTCAGTCCTTGGGAAATGAGCAGCTGCGAAGAGGCAATTGAAACAAAAGCGTCACTGGGCCACATAGCTCGCTTGCGAGTTCGTACAGAAGCTTAGGGTGACTATTATCCATCCCAGCGGATTTAGCAAGATTTAGAGCCTGAAGAAGATGGAGAACTTTTACCTCCGAAATTGTGACGTGTGTTAAACAGGAGTCCTGGGGGACTCTCATTGCTAGGTCAAGATGCGGCAATTGCTCATCCTGAACAAAAGTTCCGGCATACTGCGCACTCAGTAGACATGCTTTTTCATGATCAGTGGTGGCAGTGGCGCCGTCGCTGCCTAATAACACTGGGATAGATGAGTCAACGTTACTACGCCCTTTGACGTAGGCGAAGAATCTTTTGGGATTCGCGGAGGCTGAGTTAGCTAGCTGCATCTCCTAGCTAAGTCTAGCAGCTCGTAAATGACTCTTGCAAGCATTCCGAGCTTCATGATAACGCGAAAAAGTATATTCTGAGAGAACTGTTCGGTAGATCCGCCAGCATCATGCCCGTCTATTCATTAACTGGTGTGCGACTGTGTCCAACCACGGTGGCTTCGCTTTGGTGCCCTTGTTTACCGAAAGAGGGATGTGGGGGTGAGATATGTTAAAGAGGAAAGACTTAAACGTACCCCAAGCCGTCTGTATATCATCGTCCGTCAAGACGATGCATGGGAAACTTACCGCCTTGGTTCTAATAGACGGAAAGTCGGCGCGCCAAATGTTCGGAGTCCGGACCCTGTGTGAAACGTAGGCTTTAATGAGAGCACAGTTGAATGACAAACACGCATGGTCACTGGCTCCCAAAGGGGACGTAGTCAAGGTCACTCACAAAGTCAACCGACTTGGCGAAAACCAGGTCCAACAGAGAACGAGCGTGACCCGCCATGTACCTGTTGAGTCGATCGACAAATTGATTTAAGAGTACTTCCAGTGTCAAGTCAATAATCTCGGCAACCAACCCTGTTGTCACTGCCTCATAAGGTTGGTCATGCCAATTTACTTCAGAGAAGTTGAAGTCCCCCATTATCAAGCATCTGTTCGCAGAGTGAGTGCGGATGAAGTCAATGAAGCTCCTAGAAGCGCCATCAGGGCCTCTATCCAGCAGCACAATTTTAAATTGCGTTGATTCGGTACAGACTTCAACTGCAAGGACTTCAACAGTTTTAGCAGCTGAGTTAAAGGTATGTGTTTTTGGATATGTTTATACCACATCTGATATACAAGGCGACACCACCGCTGCGGCGAGCAGCTGGGCGGTCAGATCTTAGTACTGCGTAGCCCGGAACGTATAATTCACTGTCCATGACGTCAGAAGACAACCAGGTTTCAGTGAACGCGAGTACATCAGGATGGGAGTGGTCTACTAGGGCCACTACATCACACATCTTGTTTCGCAGTCTACGCACACTACCAAGAGCTATATGAAAACGTTTTGTTTGGAGAGTCCCGTTTCTTGTGCTACCAGAATGGGCTCTGCTAGGCCTGAAGTGGACCGTCAGCTCACCATCCGAAAACCCACCAAACATAAACCTTTCTCGCCAGCTTCGCGCCGGGCTTTAAAGCTCTTGATTGCTTCCTTAAGCTTCATCCTATCTGCTAAAGTAGATCCGGCTGTATACTCACTGTCGAGGTGGAGGAATTCCTGCAACCCTCCCTAGTTCGCCCCTGAGGATACGACGGGTAAAAATCAAATCAAAATCAAACCACGCCGGCGACGGTAATCCATAGAAAGCATATTAAAACGTCGAAGCCGAAGAGGATACGGCATGTTTCGTAACTAGGAGACAAATTTCGATCCACCCGTTTCAAGCCCCGGTCCATGAGTTTGCACACTAGCGATGTAAGGCAAATGGGCCGGTAGCTAGCTGTGTCTTGCCGGTTCCCTTCTTTGTATATGGGTTTGATGATGCCCATCTTCCAAGCGGTCGGGAGAAGTCCGGACTGAAACGGTTGACGGAAATCCTGCGTGACAGGTGAAGCAATGTACTGAGCCACTGTTTTGAGGAACAAGGGGTACAAGTCGTCAGAACAAGGCGATGAGTAAGGATCTACCTCATAGAGAAGTTTCAACACGTCTACAGTTTTTATATCGACGTGCTCTAACAGAGAAGGGGGAGTGCACACTGTTCTGTCAGATAACGACGCTGATGTTGAGTACACTGAAGAGTATTGCCGCACCAGGAGGCTGGCTTTGTCGGTGTCTTCGTGAACTGGATCCCCATGCTGGGATCTCACTGCCCGCTCTAGTGCTCCGTTTGAGGTAGGAGAAAAGCGTCTTGGGAGGGTTTCTAGAAAGTGTGGCTAGAGAGAGTTCATACTTTTGCCGTCTTTCTCGTTTTTGCAGGATACAGGTATGCCTAACCATTTTGTAACCGATGTAGTCATGCTCTGATCGTGTGATCCCAAAGCGGTCCCAAAGCGGTCTTCTGTTCATTAGGGCTCTCCGTTCACGATCAATCCACGGAGGGCCTCTAGAGAGTGGTCGATTTTTGGAAATGGGGACAACTTGTTCAATGAGTGATGCTAGCTTGAAGTAAAAAAGATTCCAGGCACCGTTCACTTTCGTAAGTCCTGCTCGTGCACCACCAAGTTACTGATTGCTGGAGAAATGGGCGAACTCACAGGATGCGAGCAAACGTATGGATGTTTTCTAGCGTGATCTCATCAAAACGGTTGACAGAGTTCTGCATGAGCGGCTTTGGTTCAAATTTCAAGGAACTGCTGTCTCTGGGAGGGCGCTTTCGTGGCCCACTGATTTCCTTTCACCCCGGGTT